ATATATATATATATATATATATATATATATATATATATACACATACACAAATAACCTACAGGGGGGCAGAAATAAAAAAAGAAAAGAAAATGAAGGGAACGAACAAAAACCAGAGCATAAAATGGCACAGTAAGCCTTGGTACATCAATAATCCTCTACACTCTAATGTTCTATACACACCAATTAAAAGGCATAGTGGTGCGTGGTGTGCACACCTCTAGGTCCTGCTCTCTGAGAAGTTGAGCCAGAAGAATCACAAATTTGAGCCAGGCCTGGAAAACTTAGCAAATCCCATTTCAAAATGAAAAGTGGTCAGGCATAGTGGCACGTGCCTATAATCCCAGCACTCAGGAGACTGAGGCAAGAGGACTGCCGCAAGTTTAAAGCCAGGCTACATAGCGAGTTCAGGGGCAGCCTGAACTCTACAGGGAGACCCTGTCTCAAAAAAAGGAAAAGAAGAAAACAGTGAAAACTGGGGTGGAGGTATAGCTCAGTGTGAAGGCCCTGGGTTCAATTCCCAGTAACAAATAAATAAATGACAAAGATTGACAAAATGGATTAAAAAACATGACCCAACCATTTACTGTCTATAACAAACCAAATTCAAATGTAATGCTGCAAGCAAGCTGAAAGTAAAATGATGAAAAAGGTACACTATGTAGCTATTACTCAAGGAAAAAAAAAAGAAAGTATGTTAATGTCAGATAAAGTTAGACTGCAGAACAAAGGCTCTGGGTTCAATCTCCAATACAAAATGAAAGAATGAATGAATGACACAGATGCACAAAATGGACAGAAAGAGGAACATTATAAATTTAATGGAATTGATGCGTTACATATTTAAGGGTCAGTCTATTAAGACAACAGCAATCCTGTAAGATGTGGTGGTACACGCCTGTAATTCTAACTAATTGGGAAGCTGAGGCAGGAAGATCACAAATTTTAGCCCAGCCTGGGCAACTTACCAAGACTGCTTGAAAATTTTCAAGGGCTGGTTTACTTCAGTGGCAGAACACTTGCCTACTTGTGAAGGCCCTGGGTTCAAGCCCAGCACCACCATAGAAAAAAAGAAAAGAACAAAGACAAAACCACCTTAAATGTGTTTGTACCAAACAACAAAGCTGAAAAATATGTGAATCAAACTCAAAACTGAGACTTGATAAAGGAACACTTACATTTAGAGATGGAAACCTCAAAACCTTTCTGTGAATGACTCCTTGAATAATTCCATAGAAAAATCATAAAATATATTGAAAAAAACAATATTCTCAGCCACAAAATCAAACCAACATTTATAGAATGCTCCATCCACTAAGAGCAGAATACACATTTGTTTGAGAGGCCTCAAAACACTTAAGTCTTCTTCAATCACAATGGAATCAAAACTAAACATCAGTAAGAGAAAGATAAAATCTGCAAATAACTGGAACTGAAGATGTCTAAATAATCCAAGGATCAAAGAATTTCAAGGGAAAAAATGTTTCTGTCTTTTTGAAACAGACTTTGGTTATGCAGTTCAGGCTGGCCTCAAACTCACATCAATCTTCCTGCCTCAGCTTCCTGACTGCTGGGATTATAGGCTTTCACTACCACACCCAGCCACTCAAGGAAAATTTTAAAATATACTAAATGGAATAAAAATAAAATCTGGGGACACAAAGCAGTGCCAAAAGCAAAATTTATAACAATTACCAGGGACTGGGGATTTAGCTCAGCAGCACAGCGCCTGCTCAGCAAGGGCAAGGTTGTGAGCTCAATTCCTGGTACCAGAAAAAAAAAAAGAAACACAATTACCAATATCAGGAATGAAACTGGGGATATTATTAATACAGGCTGTAAACATCAAAAGGATAATAAACACTATGGATACTTTATACACATAAATTAGAAGAAATAGACCAGTTTCTCAAAAAAACAGACTACCACAACTCATCCAATATAAAATTAATACTTGTGGTAATTGTATACTTACTAAGAGAATTCAATTTGTGATTTTAAAACTCCCAAAAAAGAAGTCTCCAAGGCCACATAGTTGCTCAGGAGAATTCTAAACATTTTAAAAAGAACTAACAACAATTCTATAAAATCACTTCAAAAAGCAGTCACTTCATCCCAACTATCTACAAAATTATGTAGCTAGTTTTACACTGACACCAAAACCAGGCAAAGAGTGCAAATAGAAACAAATATCTCTGGAGTACAGATGTAAAAATCCTTACTGACCTATTAGGGAATAAAATCGGGCAATCTATATGGAGAATTACACATTACAACCAGAATTTATTCCAGGTATGTAGAAATAATACAAAAATCAACCAAGGTAATTCACTATATTAACAGGCTAAAGAAAAAATATCAAGCCAGGCCTGGTAGCACACACCTGAAATCCCAGCACTAAGGAGGCTGAGTCAGGAAGATCACTGCAAATTTGAGGCCAACTTAGGCTACGAGTGAGTTCAAGGCCAATCTGCACTGCATTGTGAAACCTGGTCTCAAAAAGACAAAAAGAGGCAAAAGAAGAGGAAGGAGAAGGAGGAGGAGAAGGAGGAGAAGAAATATCACATGATTACATCGATTTGATCAGAAATCATTTGACAAAAATCAATATTCCTTGAGGATAAAAAAAAAAAGTCAGAAAAATAGGAATGGAGACAACAAATTGAGTGTTTTCCCCCTAAGATCAGAAAAGAAGCAAGGATGTCTGTCCTTAATACCCTTCCTCAAAGAGTGATGGAAGATTCCACCAGTGAAATAAGAAAATAAAACAAGGAAATCAATAAGGCCAACAGATCAGTAAAGTATGAGTGAAACTGTCCTGAGTAGCACATGACATGACGTGACTGTGCACATAGAAAGTTTCAAGGACTCTATCCAGAAAACAGAAACAAAAAAACCTGGCGCTAGTAAATGCCTTCAGCAAGGTCACAGCGTACAATATCAACATGATGCAGAAATCAAATGTATCTCTGTATTCCTGCAAGGACCGCACAGACATCAGAATTAAAAATAAAATATTATTACAACTAAAAGCAAACAAACCAGGAGGGAGAGGAAGAGGAGGAGAAAGAGGAGGAGGAGGAAAGGTGTAAATGTAATGGAACAAGACAAAACATATATAGGACATGTATACTTTCTCTTGCCATCCCAATGCCAGTGCTGGGTTCTCAGCCACACCCTGCTTCCATTAAGCACAAAAGTGAAAGGAAAGCTGGCTGTGGGGAATGAACTATGGACTTAGAAAGAGGGCAAACAGAATATTCACTCTGTAATTTAAAGCCCCTGGCATAGCAAATACCCCTAGGTGACGAGATTCTAGGTGATTTTTCTTGGTTTAAATTTTTCTGTACTTACCAAATACTTTACAAGTATGAATTTGCTCTTTGCACAGAAAAACGGCTGTAGAACAATCATTGTACATTCTGCATTCAGTAAAGAATTGTGCAGGAAGAAACTAAGGAGGTTTCTTGCGTGTTTGATCCAAATCACTGGCAAATAGCACCAGAGCATACATACAAACCTGAGCATCAATTCAGAGCAAAGAACAGGGAGACTTCACTAGAAAGCCTGACAGATAATCAGGATATGCAGGAGGTCAGAAATCTCAAAAATGGACATTCTAAATTCTCAATTTCTCTAGTCAACACTGAGCTGCTTCTATTTAAAGACATCTTCATATGTTTTAACTGATTTTTTGCCCTGCAGGTTAAAGATGGAGCTCTCAAATGCTAAAAGGAAAGCCCTGTATGAATTCCAAGAGGTTGGGGCAGTAGTTAGAGTTCTTCTCCTCTTGGGCTCAGAAGCCTGAAAACGAATCAAGCCTTCCAATGCATGCCAGAGGCGGGATTTCTTAACCCTGTTTGTCCCAACTGTTAATGTCAGACATTATGTCACATTTTTAACAAGTGTAAGAACTGGGGTGTGGCTCAGTGGTAGAGCACTTACCTGACTTGTGTGAGATCCTGGGTTCAATATCCAGTGCGTGTGTGTGTGTGCGCGCACACACACACACACACACACACACACATACATACACACAATATTTTTTAAAAGTATAGAAAACTACAAGGGGATTAGAAATGCTCAATGATGAGAAAATAGGTTTCCTTTTAAATACCCACCCCCAGGTCAAATTGGGTGCAATATGCTTCTTTTTTGCAATATGCTCCTTATACAAGCTAAATACTAATCCTGGATTCTAAAAGAATGAACCAACTTTTTAATCATCAAATAACGTGACTTAATTCTCTTCATTTCAGAGGGAAAAAAATGAGTAGGTTAACATACCACAGTCCACACACACACCACAGCACGTAACACTTACACATCTTGGAGTGTTCCTGGGATAACATGTAACTGGCAGAGGTGGTGTGTATGTCAAACACTGCAATGCTGCATTGGCACAACAGGTGTTCCCCAAATTCTCGAGTCCAGCACCAATGTCATCAGTTTTCTGCCACTTAAGATAAATCTTCTCCGAGGGAAAAATAATTTTCTGTGGCAGCACAATGCCATCACCTATAGAAAAATAAACAGCAAAGATTTAGAAATAAAACGTGGCATGCTTCTAAAGCCGAATAAATAGCGATACGTGATCGACATTCTAAATCTCAACATCACTGCCAGAAATACAGGGTAGAAAGGGATTTAAACAGACAGAACCTAGAACATGAGAAGCTAAATGATTTTTAGTTTCTTCAATAAATAAACTACAAATACAACAAGTGAGAGGTTTACAAATTAAAAGACATTTCACAGACATACCCACAAATGCAAACTGCGGACTCCATGGGGATGTTGCTTTCAATGACTGACTACTGAAAACAAACTGCAGAGCCACCTAGGATAGTGCATGCATGTAGTCCCAAATAGTCAGGAGGCCGAGGCAGGAGGACTGCAAGTTTTAGGCCAGTCTGGACACTTTACTAATTTAGCAAGATCCTGTCTGAAAATAAAAAAATAGCCCAGCACTTCTTGGGTTTAATCCCTGGTACTCTAGGACTAAAAAAAATGATATGACAAACAGAGATATCTGAATATTGACTAAATTTTTAACTTTTCAAAAAATTCTACACATATACAGACTGAAATATTTATAAATGAAATATGAGATGTTAGACAGGGTCAGTGCATGAGCTGGCCATAAGTTAATAAATGTTGAACCAGCTGATAACTGCATGAGAGGTCATTATAACTACTTTTATAGCTACTTAACACAATCAACAGAATATAGAAGATACGCCAGTCCCCTCGAACATTTGCTTTGGATGCTTGTATTCAGGGCCACCTCCATTCTTACCATCACATCAGCTGCCCCAGGTGTCACAGTTTCAGTTCTGATGGTTGGGACTGATGAAGAAACAACTTACTGTGCTAGGAACCTTCCAAATCCTCAGTAGCAAGACTAATTTCTCAAAGGCTGGCTAGTTCCTTGGTGCTATAAAAGGCAAGGATGGCCTATAGATGGTTCTCTATCTGGAGAGATACTAATGATTATCTAAGTGGGCTTTGGCTTGAGAGGAAATAGAGAACAAAATTAGGAAAGGAAAAATGAGTCGGTAGAGAGTAAGACAAGGGCAGAGTGAGGAGTGAAAGGGAAGCCCCAGCAGTGAGGAGCAGGAGCCTTGCGGAAAGACGGCTTATGGCAAAGTCTTGCCGGTGAAGCCAAAGGACCTCAAAACTCTGCGTCACATTCAATTAAGTTGTTTGTGTTTTGTGATAAAATCTTCCCCTCACACACACTCAAAACACCTTTAACGAACCACACCACAACTTACGAAGAGGACTCAAAATCATGGTCAAATTATTCTAAGCTGGACAGCATTCCAATTAGGAACTAATTCTAGTATTAACTTTCTTTGCATCTTAAATCTTTAAGATTTAAATGCTTCCAAGTACCAAATGAAAGTATTAAGGTTTCATTCATCTGGATAAATTTTAATAAATGTAGCTGTGTTTCCCTTTTTTTCCATTTCTTTTTCTTTTTTTTTTTTTTTTGAGGCAGGGTCTCTCTATGCAGTTCAGGCTAGCCTTGAGCTCACTTTGGAGCTCAGGCTGGTCTCGAACTTGCTACGATCCTCCTGCCTCAGCCTCCCAAGTGCTGAGATTACAGGCATGCGCCACCCTGCCCGGCCTATCTGCTCCTTTCCAATGGCAGATACTGAATCTACTTAGGGAACATAGTAACTACTGGTGAACTGAAACTATAAGGCTTGCTCACCTCCATTCTCTCCCAGATAGTTTATCCTTCCAAACCTTAGAAATAAAAGAAACTATCCACATTTGAGTAACTAAAAACTAATACACTGTTGTGATACCTGTTAATAATGAATGTTACTCATTACAGGAAGATCATTTCCATCATAGAACGCTGGCCAAGCATATGACAATATACTCTAACAAAATAAGCCCCTCTCTGAAACTACCAAGCCACTGACAGCAGCTATATAGGAGTTTCTGGCAGTGATTTAAAAGTAATCATCATCACCATCATCATCATCATAATACCTTGATCTTTTGGTGGTGATGGTTCTGACGTATCAGGTACTGCTGAATTTGAATAAACAGCATCAGGTACTGGTCTTACAGAAAGTGTGTGATTGGTAACATCACTTAATGAAGACACAGCACTTCAGCCGGCAGAGCCTGCATCCGGGTCTCCAGGTGCAACGGCCTCGGAACGGCCGAGCTGACTCTGACCGGTTGATGGGTCTGAAGATTCAGCTTTGTCAACTATGGTCATTGTTCAAGTCTACAAAAGTCAAAAAGCAAAGGAATCTACTCACCCTGCCATCAGATTTTGGAATATTTTTTAGCCATTTTAAATTATTTTTGAACCAGCCAAGTATAAAAACATTAATATTTTATTTCTTTCTTTTTTTCTCAGTACTGGGGATTAAACCTAGGGTCTCATCCATGCCAGCCAAGCACCTACCACTGAACTACACCCTCAGTCCTCTACCACATTTTAATAATTTTCATGGGACATTTAGAATCATGCTAATCTAAAAATATTCATAATTTTATTTCAGACTCTTCAATAAAGTATTCCATGCCTCCTAAATGTATATTTCCTTTTATAATCAGACACTTCAATTTCCAATGCTATAAACACTCATATTTACTGAGTACCTACTTGTACCTCTCTGTTTAACTATTGCTAATATAACTAAATTCTCAGTTCACATATAATTTCTCAGAGAAATGTCTTGACTAGGTGAAGAGAAAAACAAAGGCTATACTTTCAGGGATCATTTCTATAGTATGTGAAGAGAAAAACTAGCTTTGATTTTGAGCTTAAAGTCCAGAATGAGAATGGGGCATGATGGTGCACATCTGCAATACTAGCACTGAGGAGGTTGGGGCAGGAAAATCTCAAGTTCGAGGCCAGCCTGAGCTATACAGGGAGTTAAGACCAACCTAGGCTATGTAGTAAGACCTTGTCTCAAAAGAAAGTAGAAAACAACGTTGTATGAAATACATTACACTCTTAGGAAACTATAATTACAGAAAGTCTCATCTTTGGAAGAAACATTTTTCTGAAGAGGATCGTTTATATGGTATTACAACATTTTCAATAAAATTTGTAAGACTTTGACATCAAATTTGAACACAAATACATGTTACAAAAGTACTCAATGACAATTTTCTCTCTGAATTTTATTATAAAGCTACTAATTGAGCACTATGCTACCATTGCATTAATTGATGGACAAACAGTAATTTGTTTAATTTTTTGTTTCTTTTTGGGACAGAGTCTCCCTATGCAGTTCAGGCTGGCCTTGAGCTCACTTTGTAGCCCAGACTGGTCTCGAACTCCCAATGATCCTCCTGCCTGAGCTTCCCAAGTGCTGGGATTACAGGCGTGTGCCACCACGCCCTGCCCTTGTTTAATTTTTATAATGAAGCTATGAAAGATCAGCTAACAATCCACAAATTCTATAAAATGAAGCAATTCTACTTCAAACTAGTCAGCAACTGGGACCAGGAACAAGCAGGCCTCCTCCTAGCTAGCCCACCTACTCTACAGAGTACTTTTAGTAATGCTTCCAAAACTGCCCAGGCACCAACTGCAGAAAGCCCTTCAGGAGTGCCCCAGTGGCCACGCACAGCACCATGTCCTAACACCTCGACCTGGCACTCCGACCTAGTGACCACATTATGTTGCCCCCATGCTGAGTTCCTGTTTAGTCCCTGCTCTCCCTGGATTGCTCACATGCTGTTCTTTTTTACCTACTTTCCTCCCTATCCTTCCCTCTCTGGCCAGTTAACTTTTCTACTGTTTAGATCATTTCCTCTGGGACACTTTCCTCAGCAACTCCTTTCCCCTAAGACTGAGTTAGAAACCTCTTCTAAAAGCTTCTCCGGCACCCTTGTGCTGATTTGTATGGCAGCACTTCAGCATTAACTGGATAGGTCTTTTACTTGGGGATCTTTATTATGTTTTCTTATCTCTCCACCTGATGTAGAGAAAGCTTTACCCACGTGTTCAACAAATGAATGAACAGAGATTCTGCAAACAAGAAAGTAGCTAGCACTTGTTGTTAGCACCAGGTTAAGCTGAGTGATTTATATATAGTATCTCATTTGATCTTTCGGAAACTCTGCACTCCACGTATACTGAAGTTTAAGCTGTTTTGAAATACCTATGTAAGTATTTCCCACTTCAACAAACATTACCATGTACTTGCTGCTCACAAGAAGATTGTTTTTTAAAAGATTGGGGTTTCTCTTTTTTTTTTTTTTTTTTTTTGTCTTTTTGAGACAGAATTTTGCTATGCAGTCCAGGCTGGCCTTGAGCTCACTTTGTAGCCCAGGCTGGTCTCGAACTCGCAATGATCCTCCTGCCTCAGGCTCCCTAGTGCTGGGATTACAGGCATGCGCCACCTCGCCTGGCCAATTTTGTTTTTTATAACTTTTAATTAAGGCAAGATTATCACCCCAAAAGTACAACCTTAAAGTTTAGGACACTAATGTTGAAATAGAAAAGAAAATGTTAGTTACATCTCAATCAACTAAAAAAAGTTTCTTTAATTTTCACTGAAAATGTTTGACTTGCATTCAGGAAGAAAGCTTGAGTTTATCAGTGACAGGAGTGCCTGACTTGCAGAGATCCACCGAGATGGCTAACAGAGTACGGGGAAGGCAGACAGGCAGTCAACAAAGGCATAATACATAGATGATTGAAGGGTGTGTATCTTGCTCTATAAAATCTGGATGCGCAGTAGGCGAAGATCAGCTGTTCAAGTGGGAAAAAACAATCACCTACCAAGTTTCCTAGCCTAAGTCAGTTTTCAGGTCCAAAACACCCATTCAGTAAAGAAGCCTGATCTATGTTCTCCAAATTTGTCCCCAAAGACAAATTTAATTTGTCTATTTAATTTACCCGGTAACCATACACTAGGAAAGGGGGAGCACTCTGGTATGTCTAGGATATTGGTTACATAGTCCATGCTGATGCAGCAAATGTAGACCATAAACACCTCCAGGTCCCCCTTACAGCTAGCGGTCAAGTGATACGCTGAGTCCACCGGGTCAGTGTCTGGCTCCCAAATGCAGGATTCAAATAGTTACACTCAGGAGTTGCCAGAAAGCACACATCGGTTCCTTGACTCAGAGGACAGAGCTATTCAAGTAAGGAAAGGCAAGTGGAAGCCGCTGGACAGCCCTCTCTGTCAGAGGGAGTCACCCTTGGGTGAAGGGCAGGGAATAGCGCTGCCCTCAGAGCTGTCCAGGATGCAAGGCTGCGGATTTCGACCTTTTCCCCATTGAATCATCAGTGTGGCCGCTGCAAACTCTGGATGGATTAAGGAGGACGACAGTGAATTAATGCAGACTTAACCAAGGGCTAGCTGAGTCCTGCCACTGCCCATCCCATCCCTTTATGTTCTGTAACCACAACAGAATGGAGCGACATTTAGTATCTCTTTGTTGATCCTTGGACCAGGCCTTTTACCTGTTGTAGACTTTACTCATAATCACTCTGACCAAAGAAGAAATAATAGAAATGCCAAGAGCTGGGCATGGTGGTGCACAGCTACAATCCCAGCATTTGGGAGGCTGAGGCAAGAGGATCATTGTGAGTTCCAGACCAGCCCAGGCTACAAAGTGAGCTCAAGGCCAGCCTGAACCGCACAGTGAGACCCTGTCTCAAAAAGACCAAAAAAAAAAGAAATGCCAAAACACAGATTAGCAACAAAGAAAAACCTATCATTTTACCACAAAAGAGGAAAGAGAGGGAGGCAAGGAAGGAAGAAGGAAGAAAAGAGTAAGAAAGGGAGACAGGAGAGGGAGAGAAGAGTACCTTCCTTGCACTGTTTAAGAGTGCTCAGCTTGGGGGCTGGGGATTTAGCTCAGCGGCAAAGCGCCTGCCTGGCAAGCGCAAGGTCGTGAGTTTGGTTCCCGGTACCGGAGGAAAAAAAAAAAAAAAAAGAGTGCTCAGCTGTCACTATCAATAGACTTGTTTCTGTAGACCACGTGGGAAGACAGTCTTCCAAGGGTGCTGTTTATAAACAGACTAGGTGTAAATCCCGGCTCCGGATTTGAGAAGTTGGGTTGTTCAAGTCTTGCTTTGGACTGCCATGAAATGAAAGGCTAATTTCATTTATCAGAGCAAATAAGAATAATTAACACTCCTCCCCTCAAAACCAACAGAAGACATGAAAGCCTGAAAGTTTTCAAGGCAGGTTTTATTCATCTTCTGAGGAGCACTGTCCTCTCTGAATTTAGTCTGAAGCTGCACAGTATCTGCCCCAAAGCTAAGACTTGTTTTGGGGGGACAGACCCTGAGCTGCACCTTTATGGATTCCCAAAGCATTAATTTGGGACTCAGAATGGGCCATGCATTGGAGGTGCTGTCCCTACTTTGCAGAGACTATTCTGCTGGGTATCCAGAGCCGTGCTTACTTGGTTATCCACAGCGTCACCCTGCTTCAAATGAGGACAGTAATAGTAGGACCAGTGGGGGAACTTCACCTGAGTGAATGGTGTTCAGGAGAAGTTTAGCAAATGGGGTGACACTTGAAATGGGGCCTTGAGGATAAAGTAGAATTTTTTCCCAGACAAATAAAGGCGCCAGCAGTCAGGACCAAATGCCAACTGGGAGCAAAGTTTGTCTCTCTGATTCCATTGCCCTTGGATTTTGTGAGATGTGCAGAAATGAAGATCCATCATTCAAGTGATAACAAGGACAAGGCCTGGCTTGCTTTTCCTTCAAAACCCATAGCCTGATTCAGGCTCCCCCACATTCTCATCTTCTGTCATGTGACCTACACCAGATGCTTCTGCTTGGTTCTACATGGCGTGGACAACTTCCTGTCTGGGACCTGGGGTTACATAATATGTCTTCCTCCCAGTGCACATTCTTGTCCCATCTTTGGAACACAAACTCCTTATCATCCTATCTCCAGGATTACACTCTTAGAACACTGCAGATTTCATGGACCTACACTGTGAGAAAACAGGACACAAGCTAAGGGGCTCACTCACCTGAAGCAGTTGGTGAAAAAAACTGCACACTTAAAACAATCCCAGGTGAAGGCCACAAGGGGCCCTACCCAGGAGGCTCAGAGTTCTTCTGATCCCTAGGTGACATTGATCAGTGGTGGTGTCTACAAAAATTCCGATACCAAAGAAGATGGATTGCCATTAGCAGAGGATATTTTTGCCGGCTAACACTGGAGATGACTATTTCTCAGCCATCTCTTCTCATGTTTCAGACATGCCACTTACTACTATGCACAAAATTGTGGAATGGATTCCAAAATCACTTCCATTTTACAAGGCAGATGTAGGTGGCATTGCTCAGCATCCAACAATGAGTATCAAAA